CGAGGACCACCTCGCGTCACTCCGAGCTGGCGTGGCTCGTTTAGGGTGGGCGGGTGGGCTGGCTCCCGCCCCTCGCGTGCCCCGCCACGCGACAGAGGGAAAACGAAAATCCCTCCGAGGAAATCCCGCAGGGGTGAAAGGGGGTCCTCGGAGGGATTCGGCCGACGTCTTCCCACAAATATACAGTGGTGTCTCAGAGTACGGTAGCTAAAATCAGAACCCTGAAAAATCAGAGAAAACTAATCTTCCAAAAAAAATACACAGACACGTCAGAGTGACCCCCTAAAAACCACTCTGATTTTCGGAGAAACGGTGTTATTTACTCTGATAAAAAACCCCTGGCCGGGACAGAGCGAAGAAGAGAGCGAGGGCGATGGGAGAGAGGGCGACCGGAGAGAGGTCGACGGGAAGGGCGCGGAGAGAGAGAGCACGACGGGAAGGGAGGGGCGAGAGAGAGGGCGACGGGAAGGGAGCGGAGAGAGAGAGAGCGCGATGGGAAGGGAGGCGGGAGAGAGAGGGCGACGGGAAGGGAGGGGAGAGAGAGAGGGCGGCGGGAAGGGAGGCGACGGGAAGGGCGCGGATAGAGAGAGCGCGACGAGATGAGAGGGGCGAGAGAGAGGGCGACGAGAAGGGCGCGGAGAGAGAGAGCGCGATGGGAAGGGAGGGGCGAGAGAGAGGGCGATGGGAAGGGAGGGGAGAGAGAGAGTGCGATGGGAAGGGAGGGGAGAGAGAGAGTGCGATGGGAAGGGAGGCGACGGGAAGGGCGCGGATAGAGAGAGCGCGACGAGATGAGAGGGGCGAGAGAGAGGGCGACGAGAAGGGCGCGGAGAGAGAGAGCGCGACGGGAATGGAGGGGCGAGAGAGAGGGCGACAGGACAGGAGGGGAGAGCTTGTAAGCGATGGGACGAAATGGGAAAAACGGGGTGGGAGACGAGAGAATGTTTCGAGGCAAGCGCGAATGCGAAGAGGTGGGTGATGGGCGGGGGGGGACGGAATAAGGCCGCCGCGAGGGCAATTCCACGCGAATGTGAAGGTGATGAGCTGAGCGACGAAAGAGCGTTTCGGCAGCGAGCGCGTTCAACCGAAAAATCTCGAGGCAAGTATCGCTACGAGACGCGTAAGATCCCTCGTCACTAGGCCACGAATAGAAGGATGTGGATTATATCTGGTAGTTGCCTAGGCAAAAATGCATACGTTTTCAGCTATTCTAAGCTTGGCTAAACTAGAGACTAGAGTGGAAAGAAGTAGTGGAACCCAGGTCCAGCTTGAAGTTGGAGTTGGGCCCAACGATCGCAATGATCGCCGTACAGCCGTCGTGCGGGTGCATCATGTTGAATGCGTCTCCTTGTGTAAGGCCTAGAAATTTCGTTTTTGGCGGGAGCCAATCAAATGGGTTCGATCTGCACACACGAAATGTTTTAAACAGTGCTTTGCAAACCCACCCGGGAAGATCCTTTCAAGCTGGGACGGGGTTCACTATTCTATATTTCTGTTTTAAGCAAACCCCCTCCTACAGCTTCATAAGCAATATTCGCCTGCCCTTGTCTATCTCCATGCATCCATGATCCCTTCTGTGCTGACCGAACGTGTGACCACCAATCTAAACCCCTCGCCCTCGTGGTCGATATACCCTCCGTCTCCTCCCCAGACCCTCACTGTCCCGCCATCTCCCATCCATCTCTCCCTACACATTTCCACCTCCTCCCCACCTCCTCCCCATCACCTCCCATCATGGATCTGTATCGCATAATTGTTCTTTTGAGGCGCCTCGAAAGTCATCCCTATCATCTTCCATCATGGATCTGTATGGCATAATTGATAGATTGCCTTTGTCCATCCCACCTCCCAATCCCCTCCGCATCCCCCTAAACCTCTTCCCTCTCCCCTCCTCTCCTTCTCCCAATATCCTCCTCATTCCCTCCCATCATAGATCAGTGAAAATATGATTGTTGGACTGCGCTCACCCATACCCCCGCCTCCACGATCCCTTCTGACCGGTCCAACACGCGAGCACCGGTTAATACTCGTCACCTTATAAGGCACCAGCACTTTACTCCCGTTCCCAAGCTGCCAATCAGCCATCAGAATCACTCTCCCATTCCCTTACCCATCTCTTCCCCATCGCTCCATCTCCTTATCCCTCCATCTCCTCCCTATCATAAGTCTCTGAAAAAGTAATTGTTCGACTGCCCGCGTGCATCCCCCCGCCTCCACGATCCCTTCTGAGCCGGTCGAACATGCGAGCACCGGTTAATACTCGTCACCTTATAAGGCACCGACACTATACTCCCGTTCCCAAACAGCCCCGCGAAATACGAAAACGTGCTCAAATAGCTATCGAGTTCCACTATAACGTGACTCTTTCCCAGCAGGTAAAACTCTGCCATAGTGGGAAGCCGCCCCGTGTGCTTATCCGTGGAAACCCCTACATGAGCCACTTCTGCTCCGTTATAATAAACAACACCGTATGGAGCCAATCTGGTTACCATCTCGGGCCGTAACGCCTCGTTGTCGGTCGCAAGAAAGATTGACAGCGCCCGCCCCTGGCCTCCGTTCTGGTTACCACCAGTAACACCGGTTCCTCCGGTCCTCTTGCTGCTACCCACTCTGGCTTGCTCCCCTAGTTCTGTCAACAGTCTACCCACACACTTCCATGTGAGGGGGTTCAGATAAAGCTCCCTGTGCTTCTGCCTCTCCTTCTCTACCTGCCTCCTCTCACACTCCTCCTTGCTCTCCCCCTCCTCTCTCCCCGTTCCCTCACTCTCCCCTCCTCTCTTCCCCGCCCCTTCACACTCAGCAAACAGCCTATCCGGTCGCTCCAGGACGGCAGTTCTTGTCCGTATGTGCAGCCCCACGTCGAACTCCATTTCCAGCGGTGAATCAGCAGCCGCCACGTCAACCGGAAACAGAGGCAGCTTCAGCCTATCAGGCTCCGGCTCGTGCCTTCTCAAGATATTTTGAATCGTCTGACTCAGCGCCAGCGTGGGCCCGCCTGCCAGCAACGCATGGAGGGCTGCTGACCTGTACCCCCCACCTGCTACTGGGCGGCAAGAGACCTTTTCCGGGAAATCCGGAGAGGAGGATCCGAGATTTAAAGCCCGGCACGCGCATTGGGATAATCTCCTGTCGTTTAGCCACCAGTGATCCCAAAACGCGTAGCTGAACGCGAAAACGATCTTGTCCGTCCATTGCAGCGCGGCTCGGGCTGTGGGGTGGGTTACCGTCGCGAAAGTAATGTTACTCTCGAATTCGTACAGCATCGCATCTGGATCCGTCGCAGCGTCGTCAGCGTCCCACTCGTACGCCTGCCAACCCGGCTGCCCCTTGCTACGCCGACCCCTTCGCCGATGCAACACTAACCGCCTCCGAGCCTGGCTTTCGGGTTCGGTCACAGGTTCGGATCCATCTGCGTCGATGTCTTCTTCCCGCCTGCTTAACTCGATCCTCCGTTTTCCGCGATTCGCCGCGAATCTCGAAAGTCTTCTCCTGCTGCTCCCCAATTCTTTCCTAGAATCTAACAGCTTCTTGGGATATATGTGGTCGAAGTCGCATTTAAACGCCTCGCATGTGCTGGCGAGAACGCCGTGAAATTTGCCCGCGTGGAGAATGACTATTCTGCGACCGGAGATTAAAGCCCACATGTAAGCTGACACCCAATTCCGCAGCGTGTTTCCGAGGCCGAATCGCGGAGCTACTACGAGCACGCGTTGCCCGTCCTCGAGCCGCTTTAGATCGTCCAGCGTCGTGATTGGCCCGAAGGACTCCCGCGCCGCGAGAACCGCCGGGTCGAACCCCGGCGCGATCTCCGCGCATTCGGCGGCGAGATCGGCGGGATGGATTAGCTGGGGACGGAGAAACGGGGTTTGCCACGCGGAGGAGCTGACGTCAGCTTCGGAGCCTGGCACGTCGCGGTACCGAACGAGAGGATCAGGCTCAGTGTCGGTTGGGGAGTCGCCATCGTTTTGAGGATCGGATCCCAACTTGTCAAATTCTGTCAAGATTCGCCGCACTTGCCGGGATTCCTGGGATTCGTTTGGTCTGGACTCGACGAATCTGGATTCACCTCCCTCGGATTGAGTGACTGCAGCGGGATCGACGGCTTTTGTACAGAATGTGACACTGAGGGGGGTGGCCAAGGTCAGGAACAGGAGAACGGTACACGAGAGAGGGGGTAATCGTGAAGAAGGGTGAAGCGCAAATCGACGATCGTGCGACATGAGCGCGAAAGTGGCTAGCTAGATCAGTTCAAACCAAGACGTAATAATCAATTTCCAAACATGACGGAGCGTGAGCGGTCCGTGCTAACTCCTAGAAGCATGTTTAAGAGCACGCGGCCGTAGCTTGAAATAGCCTAGTCGTATGTGATGCCAAGTGGGAGATCTGTGCCGGCTCCTACCGCTTTATGTAATATGAGGCTGCAGCATAGATCGGCAGCCTAGCACACAAACGAGAAACGACTACTTGTGAAGGGCTATTTCTTTCACGGGTTGCTCTCTCACCAAGCATGCAGCTTAATACGGTAACCTGATGTCGTTGAGATTCGCCTAATGTGTACTCGATGTTTTCGCTGGTCGCTCAACCAGGTTTGGCATTTCGGTTTGGCCAGAACAAAAGGGAATTGCACGGTGACTTGTGAAAGCGGTGAAACCTGAAAACGTTAGCGACCGTGCTTCAACGTAATGCACCGAGAGAGAAGGAACCGAACGAACAAGCATGCGTTGCCTTACTAGTAACCATGTTTTGCGACAAACGGATACCGTTTTCGCCATACAGTACCTCCACCTCAATCCCGATTTCCCTGTTCCCAGGTGGTCATGGCGTTGGGTTTTCGCGCGTCACAACCAGGTCTAGCGATGTTCGCACGGTTACTCGCCTATTTCGCTCCGACTCGCCTCCCTTCGTGAACCTTATCGAGAAGCTCGTTTGTACAGCAGTCGCACTAGCTTTTCGCATTCCTGGCTTGGCTGGTTTGTTTTCACCTGTCTCTCCTTGTATCGAGGATGTTTTTAGAAGCTAACATACCTATTGTAGGCTCCGCGTCGCTAACAGATCAGCGCGATTGGGCGGGAACGGCTGTCGCGCTGGGATACCATGGCGTCGCGTTCAACGTCTTTAAGGGACCCAATGAGAAGGTCGAGCCGCGCGAGCGGTGCGGCGTTAAGGCGGTTCCGATGGACACTCTGCAGGCGACTCGAGAGAGAGTGCGACTCGCGCTGAAAGGAGCACAGGTACGCCGGGGGGCGGGGAAAGGGGAAAAGGGGGGGGAGGGGGGGGGGGAGAAGGTGGGGGGGGGAGAAGGGGGGAGGAAAGGGCGAGGGGGAGGGGGTGGGCAAGGAAGAAGGGTAGTCTGTTTTCCAGTCGCCTCAGGAACCGACTCGAGAGAGAGTGCGCCTCGCATTGAAAGAATCAAAGGTACGCTGCGGAAGGGACGGTGGGGGGGGAGGGGGGGAAGGGGTAAGGGTGGGGAGCACGGGGGAAGGAGCACAGGTACGCGGGAGGGCGCGTGGGGGTTAGAAGATCAGGAGGGGGAGTGGAAGGGGGAGGGGGCCGCGGGCGGGGGGGACAGGGGAAGGGGGGGGGACGGGGTGGCAGCAGCATCAATTTACAAGGTTTGGACCGATTCTATTACTCTGACCCATGGGTCAGTGCTTGTCATGAAGAAGAGCAGCAGAAGATTCTATTACTCTGACCCATCTTTTCCCATATCCCCTTCACCCCCTCCCCCCCCCCTTCCTCCCCCCTCCCCCCCCCCCCCCCCCCCCATCTCTACTCGTCAAACCAAGCCCCACCACACCCCAGCGTTTCCCCCAACTGGTGATGACCCTGGTGTTGTGTGACCCTGGTGGGGTGTGACCCTGGCGGGGTGTGACCCTGGCGGGGTGTGGCCCTGGCGGGGTGTGACCCTGGCGGGGTGTGACCCTGGTGAAAGCAGCACTGGGGGAGGGCGGTCCTGATGCGAGGGATGACTGGCCTTTCCCCCCACTCCCCTTCTCGCCCTCTCATTCCCCTCCTCCATTCTCCCCCCAACCAAGCATCGTTCAGCGGAAGTCCCTTCACTCTCCCACCTCGAGAGTGGACGGCATACCAGCAGGCGTGGACGAGAGTGGGCGGCCCTGTTATTATCATTAACCCGTCTTCCCCCCTGCTCCCCTCTCAAACGGTCCTTGCATTGATAATGGTGGCAGTAGACATGCATGGTGTTGTGTTGGTATACAAAACTTACAAGCATGAATAACTCTCTCTGGTTCTCTCTGTTGCCAAAACAAGCCTTTTTTAGATGAAGTCCCGTCCTTCACGCAGCTCGTGCGCATAACAGCAGCGGTGAAGGAGGGTGGCCCTGATGCGATGGCAGACTAACTGATTCCCCTCTCCCCTTTTCTCTGTCTTCCGCTTCCCTTCTTCCTCCTCCATACTCCCCCAACCAAGCCCCTTTTAGACGAAGTCCCGTCCTTCACGCAGCTCGTGCGCATAACAGCAGCGGTAAAGGAGGAGGAGGGCAGCGCTGATGCCATCACTGTCAGTCTCTGTCCTATCGTTCTCGTACCTTCTCCCCTTCGTTCTGTTCCTTCACCCCTTCTCCCCCAACCAAGCCCCTTTTAGATGAAGTCCCGTCTTTCACGCAGCTACGCATATCAGCAGTGGTGGACTTTTGAGGCGCCTCAAAAGGCGCCTCAAAAGTCCCATCCTTCACGCAGCTCCGCATATCAGCAGTGGTGGACGAGGGCGGGAGGCCCTCATGGCGTTGCTGACTAGCCTATCTCCCATGTTCCTTCTCCTTGTCTCTCCCACTCCCTGGTCTCCCTCCTCCTCCATACTCCCCAAGCAAGCTTTTTTTGGATAAGAGCCCCTTCATTCGCCCAGCTCGTGCGTCATAACAGCAGCGCGGGAGGAAGGTGGCACTGACACCATCACTAACCCATCCCTTCCCCCTGTTCCCCTTCCGCCCCCTCTCCTCTCTCACCCCTGCTTCCCAAACCAAGCCCCTTCTAAATGAGAGTCCTTCATTCGCCCAGCTCGTGCGCGTGACAGCAGCGCGGGAGGAAGGTGGCACTGACGCCATTACCGGTTGACTTATTGTCCTGTGCCTTCCGCTCTCCCCTTCCCCCCCTCTTTCCCCTCCTTTGTGTTCCCCGAACCAAGCCCCTTCTAGACGATAGCCCTTCATTCACGCAGCTCGTGCGCATAACAGCAGCGGTGGAGGAGGGCGGGCCTGAGGTGATAGCAGAGCGCCTGCCGACAGTGGTGGGGGTTGGATATGACCTGGCGGCTGTACAACCGTTAAACAGTGACAGCTTTCTCTCAGCCTGCTTTAACAGCAAGGTGTGTGCGTGGGTTTCGTGTGCATGAGTCCGAGTGGGCCCCAATTAGGTGCCATGACTTTACGTGGCAGCAGGGTGTGTGCGTGGGTTTCGTGTGCATGAGCGGCTGGGTGTGTGCGTGGGTTTCGTGTGCATGAGCGGTTGGGTGTGTGCGTGGGTTTCGTGTGCATGAGCGGCTGGGTGTGGGTGTGGGTTTCGTGTGCATGAGCGGCTGCGTGTGTGCGTTGGTTTCGTGTGCATGAGCGGCTGGGTGTGTGCGTGGGTTTCGTGTGCATGAGCGGCTGGGTGTGTGTGTGGGTTTCGTGTGCATGAGCGGCTGGGTGTGTGCGTGGGTTTCGTGTGCATGAGCGGCTGGGTGTGTGCGTGGGTTTCGTGTGCATGAGCGGCTGGGTGTGGGTGTGGGTTTCGTGTGCATGAGCGGCTGCGTGTGTGCGTGGGTTTCGTGTGCATGAGCGGCTGGGTGTGTGCGTGGGTTTCGTGTGCATGAGCGGCTGGGTGTGTGCGTGGGTTTCGTGTGCATGAGCGGCTGGGTGTGTGCGTGGGTTTCGTGTGGATGAGCGGCTGGGTGTGTGCGTGGGTTTCGTGTGCATGAGCGGCTGGGTGTGTGCGTGGGTTTCGTGTGGATGAGCGGCTGGGTGTGTGCGTGGGTTTCGTGTGCATGAGCGGCTGGGTGTGTGCGTGGGTTTCGTGTGCATGAGCGGCTGGGTGTGTGCGTGGGTTTCGTGTGCATGAGCGGCTGGGTGTGTGCGTGGGTTTCGTGTGCATGAGCGGCTGGGTGTGTGCGTGGGTTTCGTGTGGATGAGCGGCTGGGTGTGTGCGTGGGTTTAGTGTGGATGAGAGGCTGGGTGTGTGCGTGGGTTTCGTGTGGATGAGCGGCTGGGTGTGTGTGTGAGTTTCGTGTGGATGAGCGGCTGGGTGTGTGTGTGAGTTTCGTGTGGATGAGCGGCTGGGTGTGTGTGTGAAGCCAACTAGCAGAGAGAGCGACTGCTGACAGTGGTGGGGATCGAATACGACCTGGCGGCCATGCAGCCAATGTATGGGGGCAGCTTCCTGTCCGCCTGCTTCAACAGCAAGGCGTGTATGTGTGAGTGAGTGAGTGAGTGAGTGAGTGAGTGCGTGAGTGAGTGCGTGTGTTTTTGTGTGTGTGTGTCTCTGTCTGTCTGTCTGTGTGTGTGTGGATCTGTTCTGAGGTGCCTCAAAACCTGGATTGGCTCTAAACTTACCCGCCACAGTGGTGGGGAGGGGATCAGATACGACCTGGCGGCTGTACAGCCAATGACTTTTGAGGCGCCTCAAAAGTTGACCTGGCGGCTGTACAGCCGAGATTCAGACATGTCTCAGTGAGCTGCGGCTTGAAGCAAAGGAGAAAAGGTTGATCTGGCGGCTGTACAGCCACTGAGCGGGGGGAGTTTCCTTTCCTCTCCGCAAGGAGACGTCATATCTCCCCCATTCCCAACTGCCAGCTTTGATGACGTGACCGTCGTGACCCCCTCTGTTCCATTTTGAGACATCTCAAAATAAATCTGCATACACGAGGAGACGTCATATCTCCCCCATTCCCAACTGCCAGCTTTGATGACGTGACTGTCGTGACCCCCTCTGTTCCATTTTGAGACGTCTCAAAATAAATCTGCATACACGAGGAGACGTCATATCTCCCCCATTCCCAACTGCCAGCTTTGATGACGTGATTGTCGTGACCCCCTCCGTTCCATGCTGACCGCCCTTTTCTGCCATCCAGGTTTCAGATTTTCTGCTAACCTCCCTCAAAAACTGATTATTTTCTCCCTCTGCTATCGCACTCCCTTTCCTCTCCCCTGCCTATCCTCTTTCATCTCCCCTCACTATCCTCTTCCATCTCCCCACCCCTGTAACTTTCTGTCGCACTCCCTTCCCCGTCCTCCTCTCTCCCAAAGGGGGACATTGTCTCTTTTGATCGGTCCCGCTTCGTGCCAAGCCGACCCTCCCAGTGCATCTCATTCCCTTCCTCTCCCCCTTCCATCCCTTCATCTCCCCTCCCCCCCTCCCACTCCCCTCCCTGCCCTCCTCTCTCCCACAGGCAGACATTGTCTCTTTTGACGTGTCCCACTTTGTGCCAAGCCGACCCTCCCCTGCCGCAATCAAAGCTGTGATGCAGGTGACGGTGGTTGTGACGGTGGTTGTGACGGTGATGGTGATGGTGATGGTGATGGTGATGGTGATGGTGATGGTGATGGTGATGGTGATGGTGGTGGTGGTGGTGATGGTGATGGTGGTGGTGATGGTGATGGTGATGGTGATGGTGATGGTGATGGTGGTGGTGATGGTGATGGTGATGGTGATGGTGATGGTGATGGTGATGGTGATGGTGGTGGTGATGGTGATGGTGATGGTGATGGTGATGGTGATGGTGATGGTGGTGGTGATGGTGGTGGTGATGGGGATGGTGATTATGATTATGATGATGTTGGTGTTGAGGATGTTAATGCTGCATACACATCACTTCATCCATATTTTATGGTGATGCCAATAGTGGTGCTACTGTGGTAGTGGTGTATGCAAGCCATTTTTTTCTGCGTTCTATTTTGTCGCATTGGGATGCAAGAGTCCATCTCCCATTTCATGCAAGAGTCCATCTCCCATTCCATGCAAGAGTCCATTCTGTCGCATTCTGTCGCATTGAGATGCAAGAGTCCATCCATGGGATGTCGCATTGAGATGCAAGAGTCCATCCATGGGATGTCGCATTGAGATGCAAGAGTCCATCCATGGGACGTCGCATTGAGATGCAAGAGTCCATCCATGGGATGTCGCATTGAGATGCAAGAGTCCATCCATGGGATGTCGCATTGAGATGCAAGAGTCCATCCTGGATGTCGCATGGAATGGGAGTTCCTATCTCCACCCTGGAAGGATGGATGGATGCCTCTATATTTTTTTTCGCGTCGGCTCTAAAGTCAAGGAAACAATACAACTTTTGACTCGAGTCAAAAGACTCTAAAGTCAAGGAAAAAAATACAACTTTTGAGTCGAGTCAAAAGACTCTAAAGTCAAGGCATAAAGGGGAATTCTTATCTCTACCCTGGTGGATGGATGCCTCCGTTTTCTCCACTTGCATGCGGCACAAATAGTATTGTCGATGTGCCCCAAGAGTAGACTTCCATGTCTACACTCTGGATGCTTCTATTTGCCCCACCCACTCGCTTGCATCACTATCGAACATGCGTTGGATCACTTATCACTTCGTTGTGACTATTGAGTCGACTCAAAAGTCACTTGTCACTTCGTTCTTGTTTATGTTATGCTTATCTCGCCGAAAATCAAACGGGATTCTCTCACGTACACACCATGTTCTTGCAGGCTGGACGGGTGTTTGAGTTCTGCTACGGACCTGCTCTGAAGGACCGCTCGTTACTGACACCCCTGTTACAGGGCATCAAGGTGAGGTGATGAGGCTCATGCTGATGAGGCCGCTCAGGCTGCTACGGACCTACCTTGAAAGACCGCTCCTTACTGACACCCCTGTTACAGGGCATCAAGGTGGGGGAAATGCACTTGCTGTTACTGTTGATAGCCGATTGTTTATTCTACTTCTTTTCTTTCCCAAACAATTTCTGCAATATATGCGTGCTTAATCATTAAGAACTTGGGAAGTGATTAACGTATCACAGCATTGTGTTTCCTCTATTCATTCGCTTTCGTTCCCCATGTCAGGAGGTCTCTGAGGTGACACGTGGCAAGAGCTTGATACTATCCTGTGGTGCCACATCAGCACGCCAGCTGAAAAGGCCTGCGGATGTGGCGGCCATGCTGACACTGGCCGGACTGACACGTCATCAGATCCGCATCATCTTGACTGTCACTCCCAAGTAAGCGCAACCTCCAAGAATCAGAATCACTACGTAACCCTGGCTGTTATCGCGCTTAGGCAAGTGTGCTGACCGTAACCGCCTAGTATCATATTCAACCAGCAGTGATGAATCCTGGTCGGCTTTGGTTTTGCCTGTGCTGGTGTGCTTCAGGTCAGGCTTGTGCTTCAGGTCAGGCTTGTGCCTTGCATGCATGCAGCACACAAGTGTGAGTAGCAAGTGTCCTGCTAAAGCAGCACTTGCAGCAACTGTGAGACTTACCTTTTCTTTGAGCCATGACCTTCGTTCGTCGTAAATACATACAGCGAATCCAGCTTCTGTATTTTAGCAAAGTCTCACATGCGAACCTTGTAGCACTGATTTTATCCAAACCTTCTTGGTCCCTTCTTTCCTTCCAGGAAGCTTCTGGCTCGTGCTGAGGCAAGGAGGCAGCAGAACCAGCAGCAGCGGTCCTGTGTGACCGTCCACCTATCATCGCCAACACCCCAAGTAAGCACTTGCTTGAGCTATGAAACCAGCAGCAGCAGTCATGCGTGACCGTTCACGTGTCATCGCCAACAACACCACGCGTATGCCGCTTGTTGTTGCCGGCGTCCTTTTCTTGTCGTCTGCATATCATTGCCAACACCCCAAGGATGGATTCTCTTGGGCTACGAAACCAGCAGCAGCAGTCATGTGTGACCATTCACCTGTCATTGCCAACAACACCACACGTATGCCCCTCACCAATGCAATGCATGCTTGCGATGCGTCAGACTATCGGCATTTTTCAGGCACATCAAGACAAGTATGTCGTTGACCAGTGCAATGCATGCTTGAGACGCGTCAGACTGTAGTCAGCACCCCAGCCAGCATGTATCTGATATACGCACCCTCCCTCCAAACGCTATGCTCCCCCCACCCTCCAATCATTTTTCTCACCTCTCTTTCCACCATCCTCCTTCCTCCTCCCCCATCTCTTTTTGAGTTGACTAAAAAATCGATTCCTCCTCCCCCATCTCTGCTTCTTCAACTCTTGCCGGCGTACCTGCCACAGCCATTCCGTCAGGCACCACTTTTGCACCCGACAAGGCGGTAACAATTGCGGGCAATGGGGCAACTTTTGAGCCTCCTCAAAAGCCTTGCCGCTACACCTGACACAACCAATTCTGCAGGCACTACTGTTGCACCAGACAATGCGGTTCCCACCTGTATTATCTTTTGGGTTTCAGTCATTTTATTCCCTCCTTCCTTTCTCCTGTTCCCCTTCACATGTTTGAAGAAGTGTTTTGAGACGTCTCAAAACACTTCTTCAAACAGGTATCCACGCCTCCCTCTCCTCTAGACACTGCCCCCTCCCCTCTCTCGTCTCCTTCCTCACCTCTCCCTTCTTGATTCTCTGTTCTCCCCCACACTTCCCCTTTCTCCCCCACACCCCTTCACAGGTATCCACGCCTCCCTCTCCTCCAGACACTGCTCCCCTCTCCTCTCTCCTCTCCTCTCTCTTCTCCTCTCTCGCCTGCTCGCTTTCCGCTGACTCATCAATCCTCTCTCTTTTCCCCTGTTGCTTGGACCCATCACAGGTATCCACTCCTCCCTCTCCTCCAGACACGGCCCTCCTCTCGTCTCTCTTCTCTCTCTCCTTCCTCCGCCCCCCCGGCTCCTCCGCCCTCTCTGCTTCTTCACCTCTTGGTTCTCTTCCTCCCCCTCCCTCCTCCCTCTTTTCCCCACACCCGTTCACAGGCAGCAACGCCATCTACTCCAGACACGGCCCTCCTCTCGTCTCTCTTCTCCTCTCTCTCCTTCCTCCGCCCCCCCAGCTCCTCCAACCTCTCTGCTTCTTCACCTCTTGCCACCACACCTGCCACAACCATTCCTGGAACTGGCACAGTTATGCCCGGAGATACGGTTACCACCAGCGTTACACGTCCCGATACTGCGGCTTCTCTTTCTGCCGCTGTAGCTGCATCTGCAGCATCTGCTACAGCTGCTTCTGCGGCTGTAGCGCATGGGCACAAGGCGGAGGAGGGAGGGGAGGGGTGGACGGCAGTGGTGCGAAAGGCAAAAGGAGGAGGCCGAGCGGGAGTTTCTGAAAAGTCCAAAAAACCTCTCACAAGTGTTAGTACTGATACAAGAAAGGATTCTGGAGGAGGTGGAGGTATAGCTTCGGGTAAAGGAGGAGGAAGTAGTGTTGGTGTTACGATCGGCGGGAATGCTCTCTCTAAAAGTGTGCAGGGTCGGAGCAGCAGCGGTGGTGGTGTTGGTGTTGCTGGGTGGGGAGCCGTATGGGAGGGTGACGGCATTGGGTTGAAAGAGCAGCAGCAGCAGCAGCAGGAGAAGGAGCAAAAACTGAAGGGCAAGGGCAAGGGAAAGCAAAAGCAAATACGTGTGGGGAAGCCGGAGGGGGCGAATGAGAAGCCGATGAAAGAGCAGCAAGCAATCACTTTGCAGGCGAAAAAATCTGGAGGCAAGCGCAAACGAGCCTAGATCTAACCACGACATCGTCTAATCATGTTGTGCTGGTCGTTGGTATTGGCAAAATTTCTGTGAATTGAACTGTGTTATTAAGTTTTCGTATTGGCATGATGTCTTCTTTATTCGATCAACTGTTTCCATTTCTTATTGTTACGAGTGCAATTGAGTGAACGAACGAGATTTGCACTATCGAAGCAAGAGTACACTGAGCGAAGGCATGAGCGAAGAATATATAGCGAAACTACAGTGGTAACGGTAATGGTCGCGCGACGAGCCTGGGACTGAGGTTGGGAAAATGTCGAAGCGTAGGCCCGGAGCGCGGGTTACCAGCCGAGCCGTGAGGTCGGGATGCGATGTGCGAAAATGGCGGGATGATGAATGGTGCGATGATAGCGAGTGGTAACGGTGCTGACTGAGGTGCTATAGTGATGTATGCGTTGAGCAGGGATGCGAAGTAAGGAAAAGGGAATTTCCTTACACTACCCCCCCTCCTAAGGAGGTCCTCCTTACGAAAGCGCGTGGACGTCTTTGAAGTTTCGACTGCGCAGGTAGTCAGTGACGATAGGGTGGTTTTCAACTTTGTCCAGGGGAACCTAGTTGTCCTCGGTGGGTGTACGATCTTTCCAGTGGATCAGAAACTTTTCGGGCTCCTCGAGGGTCGCGAACTCTGTGGCTCAAGATTTTGTCGGGGGTGATGACTGGTTCGGTTGGTGGTCGTGTCATGCTGGATGTCGATGTCGTGGGAGTTGGCTGGTGGATGGTACGTAAGGGCGAAGTAGGCTGACGTGGAACGAGGGGCTGACGTACCAGTCAGCAGGAAGGAGGAGGTGCGCGGTGACAGGTGTGATCATGTGACTGATTCGAAATGGCCCACAGTATCGAGGGCGGAGTTTGGGAGTGATGGGCAGGCGGAGGTTCTGAGTGTCGAGTAAAACGAGGTCGTCGGGCTGATAAGTGACGGGTCTGCGGTGGCGATCGGAGTTGCGTTTAGCGATGATATTTGATTTTTTGATTGCTTCTGCTGCCCTGGTCCGTGCTGCTTGCAGAATCTCGGCGAACTGTTGTGCGCGTGGAACATGATTGTCGGGATTCGGTGTCATGGGTACTGTTGGGTCCTGCCCGTAGTTCAAGTAAAATGGCGGCTGTTGGGTCGTGGCAGATGGCGCGTTGTTGTATGCGAACTCGATGAGAGGCAGCTGCTGCTCCCACGTGTTTGGATCGTCGCACGTGGCTCGAATCAGCTGCTCCATGGTCTGGTTTGTCCGTTCTGTCTGTCCGTCGGTTTCGGGGTGATATGATGAACTGAATTGAAGTCGCGTGCCGAACTGCTGCCACAGGTTCCGCCAGAAATTACTGGTAAACTTCGTGTCCCTGTCGCTGATGATCGACGCTGGTATCCCGTGCAGTCGAACGACGGTGGCGATGAACAGTCGGGCTGTTTCCTCGGCTGTGATTGATTTCTTGCAGGCTGCGAAATGTGCCATTTTCGTCAGTCGATCGACGACGACCAGGATCGCGCCATTCCCACTCGCCCCAGCCGGTAACCCCGTGACGAAGTCCATCGTCACCTGCTGCCAAGCACGCTCTGGGGGTGGAATTGGTTGCAATTGTCCCGCCGGCCGCTTCCTGCTTGACTTCATGAGCTGGCAAGTGGGACACGATGCCACGTGTCGTTGTACGTCGGTCAACATTTCCGGCCAGTACTAGTACCACTGCAGCTGCTGCCGTGTTTTCTCTACTCCGAAATGTCCCGAGGTAACTCCGTCGTGTGCCCCTTGTAATAGTAGTTCCCGTAGTAGCGTGTATCCTGGTACCCAGATGCGGTCGGTTCCAGCTTTTACGTAATAGACTCCCTTGGCTGCTGCGAATTGCGGTGAGTTTCCTCCTGTGAAGAATGGGTCTGTTTGATATCCGTGGGTAAATAGTCCTGTAAGTAGCGGGCTGGTCTGGGCGAGTAGTATCGCGTGGATCTGGGCAGTGGGGCGGGTCAGTGTGTCGGCGATATTCGAGGCTCCTTTTTTATATGTGACCGTATAGTGGAAATTCGACTCGAGGAAATCGAGCCACCGAATCTGTCGTGGGTTGAGGTGGGGCTGTGCACGGAGGTACTGTAGGGATCGATGGTCTGTCCGTACTGTCACGTCTGCGCCGGTCAAGTAGCAGCGCCACACTTTGAATGCATGCACGATCGCGAGCATTTCGCGGTCGTGTATCGGGTGATTTCGCTCAAGTGGATGTAGCTTGCGTGATTCGTAGGCGATGGGTTGGAGGTCGTTGCCGAAGTCCTGTAACAGTACGGCTCCGATGGCGATGTCACTCGCGTCTGTAACAACTTCGAAGGGGCGGTGTGGGTCGGCGATGCGTAGGACGGGTGGTGAACAGAGAACAATTTTCAGGGCAGAGAAGGCAGCATGCTCTTTCTCCCCCCACGTAAAAGGGACCCCCTTACGCAGTAAATCAGTGAGCGGGGCTGTTAAGCGGGCCATGTCGGGGACGAACCGACGAACGTAATTGACAAACCCTAAAAAACTCTGTAGTTCCGTGATGTTCGTCGGTGGATGCCACGCTTTTACGGTATCCAGCTTCTTAGGGTCTATCTCAACCCCAGCCTCCGAAATGACGTGACCTAAAAACTCTAGTCTGTCCCGAAAAAACTCGCACTTGGAGCCCTTGGTGAATAACCGATGTGCCTCTAAAATTTTAAAAACTGCTTCGAGATCTACTAAGTGCTGCTGCTGGTCCCGACTGTAAACGAGGATGTCGTCGAGGTAAACTATCACGCATTTATCTAAAAGTGGCCTAAACGCCTCGTTCATGGTCATCTGAAATGTTGCAGGCGCGTTGGTCAGCCCGAAAGGCATCACCGTGTACTCGAATGACCCGTACCTAGTCCTAAATGCTGTCTTGGCGCAGTCCGATGGTTAGACTCGAATTTGATGGTAACCTCCCCGTAAGTCTACAGTTGGCTGTGCCCCCGGTTCTAACTCGATCCTATGGTCATGCGCCCGCTGAGGTGGCAGCCCTTGCGGTAAGTCATCCAGAAAGATACCCGGGAACCGTTTCAGTAGTGCCTGTAGTTCAGGTGGTACAGCTACCAACAGTTTCTGCAAATCACTCGGCCGCTCCTCTTTTTCCACTAGTGCGATATCCACTGCGTACACGTCAGCTCCAGCAGCGACAGCCCGTTTCATCGTGATGGCGTTGACCTGGACCGTCGAAGACTCGGGTGGCTGCCAGCGAGGTAGGACGACCCAGTTACCACTACTTCGCACTGTGCAGCTACCCGTTGTCCAGTCAATTCGTGGGTTATACCGTCGCAGCCAATCACGTCCCAATAAAATGTCGTGCCCATCCAGAGTTGTTGCGAGCATTTCCCGTGTAAACGCAAAGTTCCCTCCGCAGCGGACTTTTACTCTCTCCACCTTTTCCCGTATAGCCAGTGGCGTGCCGTCGACTAAGCGTGCATCTATCTCAGGTAAGCATCGGTTAAGTGTTAACTGCAGTTTCCGTGCGGTTGCGGTATTAACTAAGCTGTGACTTGCTCCTCCGTCAATAAAAATCTTCACTGCTGCTCCCTGTATTTTCCTGTAGATTAGTATCGGGCAATCCGTCGCTGTACCCTCCTTATTCATCCGAGCCCGATCGATGGCATGAATCGGTACTGTGACTCGGTGAGGGTCGGTGTGGTTGGGCGAGCAGGCAGTCTCGTCAGTAGTTGGCCCAACTTCTACTGACTGCTGGCGTTTCCCTGCCTCTGAGACTCCCTCCCCTGCTTTGCTCCTCGGCGCCTCAGCTCCTCTGGGCATTCGCTCTTGCCATGGCCCGGCCTGTTGCAAGCAAAGCAGCGCCCCTTGAACGGTGCGGCAGCTGCATTCGTCGCGACGGCGTGTACAGTGGCGTGCTCGGTCGGTCCCCGAGGACGATGTCCGTAGTAGGACCCTGGTCTCGGTCGGCGTAGGATGTCGATCTTCTCGGCGAGCGCGAGAATCTCGTTGAAATTAGAGAGTCCGCGCAGCATTATCTCGTGCGAGATGTCTGGCTTCAGACCTCCGACGTAACGGTCCACCCGCTCCGATTCATGCATGTAGCCGACCTGCTCGCAAAGTGCGAGAAAACCGCTGGTATAGTCATGAACTGACCCGAGATCGGCTCAAAGCGCGCCCGAAGCCCTGCGCACCACGCATCCCACGTGCTGTATTGGGCGGTCTCGCAGAACGAACTCCAGGTGACAGCTGGACCCGAGGGCCCTTCCTCGTGCGACGGTGGCTCGTAGGCGCGTGGCGACGTCACGATGACTCTGACAAAATTAGAAGAAAGAAGAGCGTTGAACTAGCAGGAATGAGGATACAAATAGCAAACCCTAGAAGGGTTGTACTCGCTATAGAGCACCCCACTACAGGCTAGAACATAAGATAACATTCTGACAGACTCGCCACCAGTCCATGGCGGGGCCCCTTAGCAGTGAAACCGCATACCGGATCTTTGCGGCGTCCGACTCGACGTAATTGGCGTCGAAGAAAATGTTCATCGTGAAGACCCACGATTGAACTGTCGGACCGCCGCGTTGACTTGGGTCGAAGCAGGGCGGGCGTTGCGGCTTGAGCGGCATTGGTGCCATGTTGGAGTGTTCGCCACTTGTCGCCGCAAATTCCACGTGCCGACGGACTTCTCGAGGCTCCCGTGGGCTTGGTGCGATCCTGTTTCCTCCTATGCCAGGCATCGGCTGGGCGGCGCTTTCACTGGCTGCGCCTGAGCGTTGTCCCGTGCTGTCATGTTGTGTTGGTGTGCCGGACGAGATGACAATCGGCTCATCCGAATGTGCAGATGCGTTTGTTGGTGCGTGGGATGTTGTCGGTACGTTCACCGTGGACTGTTGACGGGCGGAGTCACGTTCCGCCGTGAGAGTCGCGATTTCGAGCGCCGAGTCCTCCAGTTGACGCACGAGACGATCGAGTTGCTCTTGCGTCAATGTGGCGAGCGTGAAATCGGCCATGGCGGGGGTGTCGGGCAAGCTCAGCGAGAGCCTCGGTCGTGGCCGTGCGTGCTTGCGAGAGAGCACTACGAGCGGCGGTGCTGTATCGCTGAGAGACGTCTACCCCCCCCAAAAATTGAGATACTGGGGAAGCGAAGGTGTGGATGCGGTCCGAGGTAGGATCGTAGGCTCTGAATACCAAGTGTTACGAGTGCAATTGAGTGAACGAACGAGATTTGCACTATCGAAGCAAGAGTACACTGAGCGAAGGCATGAGCGAAGAATATATAGCGAAACTACAGTGGTAACGGTAATGGTCGCGCGACGAGCCTGGGACTGAGGTTGGGAAAATGTCGAAGCGTAGGCCCGGAGCGCGGGTTACCAGCCGAGCCGTGAGGTCGGGATGCGATGTGCGAAAATGGCGGGATGATGAATGGTGCGATGATCGCGAGTGGTAACGGTGCTGACTGAGGTGCTATAGTGATGTATGCGTTGAGCAGGGATGCGAAGTAAGGAAAAGGGAATTTCCTTACAGTTATCATGATAACTCCGCAAGTGCGACAAAGGGTTTGTCGAACCTTCCAATAGGTTTGGTGCTGTGACTTTCGCGGGAGGTGGATCACTCTAGCCCACGAATTAAAGTCAAAAGACGTGGAATCGACGAACATCCACGTCACCATGTTCTAACACGTGTTCACGACGAACCTGGCCTTACACCTGCCTCACGAATCTCTGCGCTTCAGATCCCATTATAGATCCCCTTGGTTACATCTCTCCACATGGCCTCCAAACATGCAGCCACGCTGCCATCCATCACAGCCGGTTGGGTACTCTTATTCGCATGCTGCATTGCGACCGTCGCAACGCATGTTGCGCGTTTCGTAAACTCAGTTCCATAGCACACCGCACGCAAATCTCTAGAGGACCTTGATTCCATAGCACATTATTCATTTCTTCCCATCAAGTTAGCAGTACAAATTTGTTCCCATTGCTCCTCTCATTTGGCAAACAAGTGACCCCCGAGCCTCCGTCGCGTTGATCCATTGTGCTGCTGCTAATCTCCACCATCCACGTTATCTGCATCGGATTACTTAGCACAAGCAACTACAATGGCGTCCGCTGCTACTCTTACCAGCCACGTGGCGACAGCATGCGTGGCTCCTTGTGCTAGCCTGTGCTCACGCTCATCCAACGCGGTTAGTCGCCTGAGAATGCTGACATATGAGCGAAATCAAGCTTCTTGTTTGAACGACTGAATGAACCGTTTTCATGAGTTAAAATGTCGCTTGTGTAAAAATATCATCTCGCACGCCCCGTTGGCTGAAACTGTTTGCATTCAGCTGCTCTTCATTTTTTTGAAAGCCTGTTGCTTTCCTGCATAACGTCGACAGCTTCTTTGTTGGGATGTCTATCGGCACTATTAGCGTATGATTTTTTTGAGAATTCTAAAACAACATACGTTGCGTCTATCGGCACTATTAGCTGCCGAAAACATAAAACTGTGAGGCGCCACTTTTAGCTCTAATGCAACATTCCGTCTTCCTTCACCGTTGCTATTTCCCACCGTATTCCTCCATCTCGTTGCGACAGGTGTCAGCGAAACCACTCGGGTTACCACTGCTCCATGTGCGTTACAACTCCCCGCACCTCCACCTTGCCCTTTTCGTATCAAGCATTCGGATTGGTTTTTATTCATCAATGCATCTCCATGCTACGTCCCACCCTTGCCACGTCATTCCTTGTTCCGTCTCTGTGGTGACATCTGTCACGTTTCGCAGATGTCATCAGTAAGACTAATCAACCATTTCTGTCTTCCTTTGACCTCCTGACTGCCGATCTTCAACGCTTTGCATGCTAACACTCCTCCTCCTCTATCCCCTTCTCCCCACCCCTTGGTTCCGCTGTCAGGCATCCAGGCCGCAGCAGCAGCAAAGCAGGCCTGTTCAGCGGCATGTGGTGGTGAGAGCAGCAGCGGACGAGGAAGGCGCCTCAGACGCCGCTGCTACAGCAGCCGCCGCCGCGGGCATTAAACGAGAAGGTGAGTCGAGTCTGCCTGGCTCGATGTGTAAGGGATAGTTCTAAGGCTGTTACGAATAGAACAGCAGCGGCGATATGCCTTTCTATGCAGAAACTCCGAAGGCAGGAGGTATCATCCGCCAACCTCCAGGGTAGAACACGAAGGAATAATAATACGAGGTGGAAAGCGTTATTGGTAGCAGCGGTATAACGAAGCAGAAATCTGGTGCTCGTGTGTCCCCAGAATCCACACGAGAACGAATATCCTGGTGCGTCCGTGCTGACGCTATCTGGCGAACGCAGCCCTTACCACCCCTTTCCTCCCGGACTGTCATTCGTACTCTCTGTTCCGTTCCCTTGCCCCTTCACGCACCCTTTCCACAACACCACTGGCAATTTTCGACCAATGGCCATTACATTGCAAGGGAGGGTTGCTTGCGACCTCCTCTCTTAGATGAACAGCTGCAGTTGCAGGGTCAAAGTTCGGCAAGCGCACGGAGTGTGATCAATTAATCAATCAGAACTGTTTCTCCTAGTGCTTGAACCTTCCCGCCCTGCCTCCCGTACTTTCGTCATACTGCAGAGGAGGTAGTGTGCAGTGGGGAATACGGGCAAGTGGGAGTGCAAAAGTCACTTCAAGTCGTGTGGCTTGTAGACACCTGCCCCATATATTCCTGTACCCTCCTCCCTCCCACCCACCCACCTCACCTCCTTCTCCCTGATTCGTGCGTTCATGTGTTCCCTCCCCCTCCCCTCCTCCCCGCAGAGGAGAAGTTTGCAGTGATCAACACGGCAAGTGGGAGTGCAAGCCTGCCTCATTCAACCGCCAGGCACCTGCCTCACAGCCGCCCTTCCCCCATTCCCCTCTCCCCACCCCCTCTCTCGTCTCCCGTGTCATGTGATGTAACCCTACAGAGGAGAAGTTTGCAGTGATCAACATGGCAAGTGGGAGTGCAAGTCCTGCGGTAAAACGTCCAGCCGCCATGCACCTGCCTCATCATAGCTGCCTGCCCGTTTCCCTACCCCCTCTCCTCGCTCCTGATTGCAGAGGAGAAGTTTGCGGTGATCAACACGGGCAAGTGGGAGTGCAAGTCGTGTGGGTACATCTATGATCAATTCAAGGGCGACCCAGCTTATCCCATCGCTCCGGGTGAGTGCTGCTGCTGCACTTGAGTTTAGTTCTGAGGCGCCTCAAAAGTCAACTAGTTCTGAGGCGCCTCAAAAGTCAACACGGTCAAGTGGGAGTGCAAGTCGTGTGGGTACATCTAGCTGGAAGACTAGCTGTGCCGTGCCCCACATGTGGGTCGGCGCCTTCTTCATTCGACAGCCTCAGCAATGAGTTAGCTGGGTCTGCACTTTGGATAATCAACTCAACTTTCTTTCTTGTTCCTCTCCCCTGCTCTCCCCCCCCCTCAGGTGTATCCCTAGAGGAGCTCCGTGAAGACTGGCTGTGCCCAGAACCAGGCCTACGGGCTGGGAGCCACCTCCCTCACCTCGGCTTTGAAGGGAAGAGTGATCAGGGGGTCAATTCCTTCTCTAACCCTAATCCATGTCTGTTCCCTACTCCCTGACGACTGGCTGTGCCCCACGTGTGGGTCGGCGCCTTTATCTTTTGGCAGCCTGAGCAAGGAGCTACCGGGTTCGCCCTGAACCCGGCGTACGGGCTGGTAGGCAACTCCCTCACCTCGGCTCAAAAGGGTCTGCTCATCTGGGGGTCAATTCCTTCTCTAACCCCTCCCTCAACGTCTGCTCCCTACTCCCTTCGCGCTTCTTCTCTCCCCTGTTTCCCCCCAGGCGTATCCCTCAAGGAGCTCCCAGAGGACTGGCTGTGCCCCACGTGTGGGTCGCCACCTTCATCTTTCGGCAGCCTGAGCAAGGAGTTAGCTGGTTTCGCCCAGAACCAGGCGTACGGGCTGGGAGGCAACTCCCTTACCTCGGCTCAGAAGGGTCTGCTCATCTGGGGCTCGATTGGAGTCGCATTCTTGGGCTTCGTTTCCGGGTACTTCCTGGAATAGAGGAATGGACCTCTCTCTTTTTTATTGTTAAGTTAGTTTTCCTGTGTTTTTGTATGGCGGAGCAGCAATTTTATCACACTGGGCCAGACGGACAGAGGCTTAGTTGTTTGAAGAAGCCGTGTTTCTGTTTGGGATACTTACGTCTTCAGTAGGGCCCCTCTGCTTCTCTGCGTTTTGTAATACCCTGAGTTAGGGAGCCATGAACATAGAGCACATTGCTATATTGGAATTTCTTGCATCCAACACCATGTCGGTGCATGTATTATAAGGATAATTTCTTGCTATTGGTGTAAACAGAAGAACTATGTAAACTAATGGAAGTGGATCAGGAAGTGCAATTCAGCCAAACTCTACTGATCCAAGCCAAAATATCCGAAATCTACAGAGATACGGTAAGAATCCCACTATGCAAACTCACTATGCGAATGTTGTATCCACAGAAGCACCCTAGCACACGGAAAGAAGAGTCCAACAATGAGTGGCATACCTGAATTCGACTCGATAGAAGTGTTGTTGAACGTATATTTTGTATCGAATGAACGCTCACCAACCCCTCCTCGCTTTCCCCAGCGTCAGGCGTTTTGATCGGTTGTCCTGGCAATGGTGGGACACAGTTCACCACAAATTGGCGACCTGGTGGTGGTGATTGTGTGGCGGTGGTGACAGCTCAAAAACCTGTCGCCATGCGTGTCATACACCTCCACATGTGTTGGCGAAGCCAACCCTTTTCTCGCACGGATTTCGTCGAGCCTTGGAAATGTGGAAAAGGCGGTACGATGTGGAGAAGTTAAATCCCAATGGCAGCCCTCATGCACCACGACCTTCGCGCAGACAATGGGATGGATTCGGAATGTACCGATAAGCTGATTACGTGTATTGTGATAAGTGGTTGTCGTCTCCTCCAAGCATTTCTTGAGGCTTGTACTTCAACACAAAGAGTTGCCGTCACCTGGACTAGAATAGTCGCAAGGTTATGTTCGTTACTTCACCTACTTTTGCACGCGAGGTAGCAGTTAGATTACGACGAAACCGTTGCGCGTTCGCAATCCCAGGGGTCACACACTGTTCTGCGCTTGAGTTTTCTCCTTCGCTAGTACGGAAAACGGACGTAAGTCACAATCTCTAGCGATCGCACGCTCGCATCCGGCCTTATCAACGTGACAAAAGTGTTGTATTCAGATTCGTGTCAAAATTCGATTGTTCTGGCGAGATTATGGTTGCAATGGAATCAGGACCATTGAATTCCCAAACAAACTGCATCGACGAGCCGTACGAGTGCATCCTGAAAATCAACGGCTCGCCTGACGAGAGCGCGTTTCCGAGCGACGGAAAGTACGACTCCGATTCGTCGTGGAATGCGGACTCCGAATCGTCATGGGTTCACGACGTATTGTCGCCGCGGAACTTGAAGGGGGCGGCATTCCTCGTGCGTGCCCATCGCCATCGCCAATTTGGGGGGTGTGGGAAACTTGTTGGGAACGAGTTGTTGTCGAGTGGTTTTCGACTCCTGGCGTTTTCCCGCGAATTGCGATTGGTTTCCGATACATCTGACAAGAAGAGATCGACTGGTGCAGAGAATGTCTCCCAAGCCCTCTGACTTGGTTCGGGAAATTTGAGCGAACACGCACAGGACACCTGGCGCGTGACGATTTGTTGCAACTTTGTTTCTATTGGCTGCCGGACCGTCCAAATACATTCCGACGCGCACTCGTTTAGAAGAGGAAACTCGTTATCAGTCTTTCGGACTCGTTCATTTAATCCTACATTTGTTTCCCCGTTATTTAAAACGTGATACTAAGGAGGGATGAACACAGCGAGTTTCGAAAACATTAATGTCAATAGGTACAGTAAAGATACAGTAAACTAGCAAAATAAAGAGATAGTGACTAAAACAATTACCGATATTTTTAGAAATTCAGTATAGCCTACAATTCTACATTATAACAAATAGAGAAAACAATACACTAAAAAGGTCAAAAGCTTACATATATACAAATCCAAGAACTATCATTAGCTACAAACTCATCTATACCTACAAAAACAGCCCTAAGCTACCACAGGTACTCCAGGTCACCCGTAAAGCTCCTCCTGCTCTTCATTCTCATCATAATCCCGCTCCTGCGAGCCTGGCTCGCTCACTAGCTCATCCAGATCAAGGTCACCATGCTCGTCTGCAACCAGCTCCTCCTCTGGAATATCCTTCCAACCAACGATGCAGACCTTGCCGATCTCAAGGCAGTCGTCCGTGCGAGTGACGTCACTTCTGTTGATCCAGCGCTGTACAACCCGCGCCTGCCTGGCAAGAGCACCAGGATCCCCCGACCGATCCAACTGAGCCTTCGTGGCGCCAGGATGGCGGAACTTGAACCTCACCTGCACGAAGAAAAGCAATCAACACTTGTTAAATTGCACAATGTGAAAGGCAAATAAAGTGCTCATGTTAAACTTACCGCTGCAAGGATGACAAGCAGCTGAACAGGAAATAAACCAATTGGCAAGGCGCCACTCGAATCCCACAGAGAAGCACACTTAACGAAGGCAGGGCTGGAAAACGGACTGCCTCTCCTGTTGACGTGCCAGGGAATCCCCAAGACTCTGCAACGGAGCAAAACATCATCAGAACATGCCACGACGTTAATCCCGAAACCCAATTAATGCAACCGATAAAAAAAAACCTCAATGACTTACTGTCGGCGTGACGCTCAACGTAGTCAGCACATTTCATGAGTAAGTCCTCAGGCACCTGCAGGGTTAGCTCTCCCTTGAAGTTCCGCTTCCTCTCCATAAAAACGCATGGTTCTAGGCTCAGAGCATAAAGGCGTCAGAATCGGTAGATTTTACCGATCCGGTCGTTGAAGCGCACACACGCGTGCTTCAAAATGCCATTGACCTTCAGCAAGGCAGCGAGCTTCAAGCCCCGAGGGGAGTCAGCGATGTAACCAGCTTTCTCTGCACAAAACACGAATGACAACGAGTAAGTAAAAAACAATGAAAAACGAACGCGACAGTTTCTGACCGTCACTTACTGATTAAAGCTGCGAGCATCGCATCAGGATCGGGTGACAGGTTGAGCGTATCCGGCTTGAAAAGGAAGTCGTCGCACGACTCCTTGATGTGGACCTGAAATTAAAAAATGACATCGCATTAGTGACTGTTTGTAAACAGCGCAGACGGAAAAATGAGGGCAATACTCACCCGCCAATTCACTTTGGCGAGCTGATCATTGGCAATTTTCTCCGCCAGATGCTTCAACAGCGCCAATGCATCCTTCAGATCCGCGTCCCTCTTCTCAAGCTGCTGACGAAGCTCCACGTTCTGCTTTTCCTGGTCGTCAGCCTTCAGTTGAAGCTCGTCATTCACCTCCAGATGCTGCCGTCCCTCCTCGCAAAAACGCGTAGCATTAGTAGTATAAGCCTCCCCTATCGCCCGGGTCATCGCCAACTCCATCGGGTGATCTCCAGTTTTGCCTGTTTGGGCTGAGAACAGACGCAACAGAACAGCAAAATTAGCAAGTGTAAGCACGGATAAAGCGTGTCACATAAACATTCACTCACCCGCAGAAGCAGCATCTTGTTTGTTAGCGACGGCTGCATCGACGTTTGCAACCACCGTCGCTACAGCAGGGGAACGACGTTCACCAGTGCGTTCAGGTGAACCGGCAGGAGAAGTCTCGACGGGCGAAGCAGAGGTGACGACAGGCTGTTGGTGAAGGGCGGGATTTGTCGTCGTAGGGAGCGCCGTGTCCTTCGCCCACGTACCAGTGACTGTTGGGGGGGATTTGTCAATCTGGCTCCGTCGAGTTTGCTGACTCTGTGCCCCGGTGGGTCGGCGATTGGGTTGAGCTTCGTCGGCTGCATCGTCAGCTACATCAGCAACACCTGCAACAAAATAACTAAAAAGAAATCACTTCAAAACATCACATACGAAAGCACGATTCAAGAAACTAATCTTTACTAACGCTAAGTACCTAAGACAGCGTTGGTCGAAAGGTACTTGTGGTTCTCCTTGCTTAGACGAGGCAAGGAGGGCCGAGACTGCAAATGCATCATAGCGGGAGGGACTAAGTTTTTCGGATTGCCGCGGGCCATCGTTACAGGAGACTAATAGCCTACAGAAGCGTGTAGCAGCCTACAGAAGCGTGTAGCCAGCAACACGCTTCTGTAGGTATTTATAATATGCGGGACCGTGATAATAAAGAGCGCAATCGGGATAGAAAACGCACCGTCATGTCATTGGGTCACCAAACGAGTGACAGCAGGGCGTGAATGATAAGGCTCGGGACGGGGCGCGATCAGATAAGCTTGGCCAAGGCGGAGGAAAGTTAGACTTTGAAACTCGAAATTTGAATTTCCAAAATGAGACATGAAGGCAGAGCAGGAACGAGATCGTTTGAGAGGAGAAGGGAGAGGGGGAAGAGAGGGTGTGTGAGGGCACTAAAGATGCAGAGAGTCATGGGGGTAGCAGAGGGGAAGGTGGGGTTCGTGTCTGCCTCGAATCACGTGACAACGCGGCGGATTCGCCGACCTTGCACAACTGGAATCTTTTCTTCTTGCCCCGCTGGAGGACTCGAACTGTGCATGGGCAGGTGTAGCTCTGAATTTTGTATTGCCTCGTTTGTCGCTTTTGAAACAGTGAAGCAAGCAAAGTGTTGACGCGGTGCATTTTCCTGCTGACAGGAACTTTACATCATCCATGCAGACAGGTTTAGTCATGTCGCGGGCAGTTCCACGAAGCAAAGGGTAATGTGTAGCAGTGACGTGGAGCAGGTGTTGGACTGGGAAATCAGCTGTTCTGCCCGCTCGATGGAATAATCCACCGCGGTAGTACACTTGCAAGGCCAATGAAGACAGCTCCAGCAATACTTGTACTGTTCGGGCAGCTAGAACAATAATGATAGAGGGCAAAAGGAAAAAAACACAAAACAGCCGAACTGTCTGCCCAGTCGTTCAGGCTGGCTTACCCGCTGAGCTGTCGCCGTGCAAAATAAAAGGCAAAAAAAA